GTATACTATCAAGGATAGGTTCAAATATTCTAGTCATAGCTTTCTGGAATAGAGAAGGTGCAACCTTTAGGCCGAATGGAAGAACTTTCCATTGATACTGAGCATTAGGTATGCAGAAAGTAGTTTTGTATCTCTCAGCAGGATCAACACCAAGTTGCCAAAATCTGGATTTTAAATCAAACTTGGAAAAGATTATGGCATCTTTAATGAAGGTATGAAGAGAAGAAGTTTTTGGAATAGGAAATTTTCCATCTTTGAGAAAATGATTAAGAGGCTTGTAATCAATTATTAACCTCTTCTTTCCTCTAAGCTTTTTAGATATTTTTTCAACATAGAATGCTTGGCATACCCATTCTGATTTGGTTGGTTCAATCAATCCTTTATGAAGAAGTTTATTACATTCTTGTCTAGCCATCTAAAGATCATTTGGACTCATTCCAGGATGAGTAACTTTAGTAGGATTGATATCTTTATTGAGTTTGAAAGGAAGCTTTATAATAAATTCTGGATTATTCCAGATCGGATTAGGATGAGAAAAATTCTCATGACCATCTGCACATAAAGTTTTTAGCTTTCCTTTAATCTCAGAATATTCTTCTAGACTTTCTTCAAGAGAGTAAAGCTTCAGGACATCAGTGTAAGGCTTAAAACTTCTTTTGAATTTTATTCCATTGGGAAGAATCTGAAGTTTTTCAACTAAACAGTAGGCATCTATTCCGAGAAGAATGTCTTTGTTGGAAAGACGAGTTCCTATAACCTTTATCCAGATTATGCAATCTGGAAAAAACTTGATTCCAATAAACATTTTGGAAATTAAGTTTGTATTAAAGAACTTTCCATCTGCTGCTACAAAACTAGTTGAATATTTGGCCCAACATTCTTTTGGAAGAACTTCTGGATTCGTCATAGTTCTCTAGGCTCCAGTGTCCATATAAGCTATGACTTTTATGGGAGTAGCATATTTGTTGGAAAGAACTTGAACCTCCACACAAGGTTGAGACAGAGTTTGAGTAACACTATTTACTTTTTCAGTAAGTTTTTGAAGAATCATCAGACAATTCTTGAATGGCAAAGACTGTATCCTGATCTGCTTCTTCTTGTTCTGAATATTCTGATTTAATATCCCCTTCAACAGAGTCTAATGAATTTACCAGATTTTGGGCTTTGACATCTTTGTTAGAACATTTCTTTGTAAAATGTCTTTTTCCACATATGAAACATCTTGTGCCTTTACTTTTTCCTCTTTTATTCTTTTTCTTGAAGAACTTCATCTTTTTCTTTTTCTTCTTTAAGAACTTTTTTATTTTATCTTTTTTCTTGGATGAACAGACATATTTCTTATTTTTACATTCAATTTTAAGGTATTTCTTTTTGCAAGCTTTAGTGAATTTGGATCTTTCATTTATTATATTAGAAATAAATAGACGTGTCCTGCAAAGTTTATCAAAAGATTTTAATATCTTATGATAAATTTGGTCGAGGATTAGACTAGTCAAATATATATATATGAAAGAGATCTAAGAAGGAAACCGGGAAATGAACTGTAGATGCATCTCAGTATCAAGATATTTTGCGACCTTATATTTTCCACACCATGGTTTCAACTAACGCCGGCAAAAGTTTGCCAATCGATTGGGTTAGACGATGAAGGTTTTGACTGGTGAGACAGAATGAAACACGTTGCGTTCACACAGTACAATGGTAGACATCTTCATACCTCCTCATTTTATATTATTTTAAAAGCCAACTTAAATTTCTTTTTAAATTCGTTTTGTATCATTACATCTTTCATTTCTCTCTCTTTTTTCTTCGGTGCGCTATATGCATCGAACAGGCACAATCAGTCTCATTTTCCTTTACATACGCCGTTGTTGAGGCTATTGAATTAACATGATGAATGAAATCTAAAAACGCAAAAGTAAATGAACTGTTACAAAGCTGAAAGTAAAAGGCATTGAATCCAATCTTAGATTCTGTCCTAACATTCCTGTAGAAGCAGTTCAATCAGAGTATGACTTTTAACTCCTACGACACATTCTTAAGTCTACGCCAATTAATCAGGTAGTTGTTGCAACGATTAATGGAGCTACTTGACTTCACTGCCTCTGATTGCGCCAAAACTATTAGTACATCTGAATTTGCTCCCATTCATTGGGTGTACACACTACAAAACAACATTGTTATTTATCAATTTTTTTTTTTTTTTTAAATAACAGGTCAATATTAGATTCCTGTGTGGTGGACTAGATGGAGTTCACTGTCATGTTTTCACAAGGTGGTGTGTTTAAGCTCTCGAGCATGGTAGAAGAGGTTGAAGTCTTCGTCTTTTTCCACTGTCGGAATTGGAGTCTTCGAATTAAGCCACCAACAATGCTAGCAACATATTTTACCGCAAAATAGAAAGAAAATGTCACATGCCTGCGATCCAATGGACAAGGCATATGGTCAATGCTAGTAACAAATATTGTCCATCTTTCTTAAGTGTGATTACTAAAATTCGTCAAACAGTAAAAATTGTGTTATGAAAACTAGTCAGAAAAATGTAGTACAAGTATTTTTGTTTAACTTATTTATTCAAAGAATTAAATTGATTGTTATTGTCAATTCAGAGTTAATTGATTGAAGGTTGTCAAAAATTTTAAATTGAATTTTCTTTTCAGTAATATCAAGAATAAAATTGATCAATAATACCAATTTTAAAAACTGAGTTAACCTTTAAAGTAAACTTCACTAAATGAAATTTTACAGTCATTTGTCAAAATTCATATAGCTAAGAAGGATATGGAAAGAAAGGGCCATTATGGATGGATGGCTATGTGGGCTTATGTCTACTTTTGAGATGAAAGCTTCCTCAGCCTTCGAATATGTGAAGTCGATTGTCAATAAACCAAAATGAAGAGAAAAAAATTATTTGGAGAAATCAGTTTAAATATAAAAAATCAATTTAAATATCTTCAACTATAAGGAAATTCAACGAAAGAGGATATTGAAAGTAATTTTCTACTTTCTTAATAATAATATTAATTAAACAAAATATATTAAGTATTTTTTATATTTTTAAAATATAAAATATAACAAATTTATTAAAAATAAAAATCATTTAATGTATAAAATAGTTTATTACACTGTATCTATAATTTAAAATATTAAACAGAATGTAATAATTATTTATAAATTAATATTCTTTCAAAAATATATGAAATAATTAATTATTATGAATGTGATTTTTTTTCTTTAGCCCACGAATACGAAGTTTAAATAGGTCAAATACTCAAAATCGTCAAGTCAAATATTTGTGTTAAGTTTTAAACGATTAAATTAGGTCTTTTAGTCTTATCTATACAATATAGTATTTTCATTAGTATTTTTTTAAATTTCTTCCACTAAATTGTTACATGACATTTTTTTAAATTCATTAGTATTTTCATTAACGTTTTTTTCTCACTATATCTGTATATTTCTTAAAATTTTGTATCCTCAACCTTTCATTTTTTTATTTCTATAATTAATTTTTATTTTCTTTCAAAAAATATAAAAATACCATAATTTAAAAAAAATATTTTAATTTATATATTTATTAATATTTTAAATAAATCAAATAAAAATATAAATTAATTTAATACCTACTTAATACTTTTTATTTATATAAAGAAAACTACCCTTATAAACCTAATAAAAAAATATAAGGATAAATTTTATCTAATTTAATATATATATTTTTATTAATACTACATCAATTTTCTTTTTCTAAATACTGTTATTAAAAAATAAGCCCAAATTGTCGAATGACTTAATGAAAGGCATTTGTTTTTTCTTTATTTTGATTTAAATTTTTTTATCTTCCACTAACAATATATTTATATTTTAAAAACACATAACATTTCATATAAATATATTAGTCAGTATATTATAAGATAATTTTTTATTCAAAATTATCAATAGAGAATGAATTGTTTTATTAAATAGAATAATAAAAACTTAATAAATATTTTTAAAGTATTAAATAATATTTTTATTAAATATATAAATAGCATAAATAATAAAATATATTTAATAATATTATTGATACATTATAAATAATTTATAATATAAAAATAAATAGTTTATAAATTCGTACGGTCTTACGAGTACGAAATTTAATATTAAATACATACGTCAAGCAGAGGCTTAAATATGAGAAAGAAAACAAGTCACAGTCTTATAAAACCTAATCTAATTCAGTTTATTTCACTCATATAAACAAAAAATATATATAAATATTAAAATTTATTATCAAGACGAAATTGTGAAAGAATATAATATTATAGTTAAAATAATTTGGTCTGTGTGTGATTGAATGTTTCTTTTTTTGCTTTACACTCCATTTTTGCAGGCTGAGGTGCTTGATGTGTTGAAGTAGGCCTTAATGTTGGATGTTGGACCTCCCCTATCCCACTTTCCATGGGGCTATTGCCTACGAGCACACAAGATCCAACACGTGGCCCTTACAGTAATGGGAGAATGTCATGGTTGACCCAAAATTGGTTCAGAGAGTTTCTACATATTTATCTTTGATACCATTATACCATCCCTTTGTAAAAATAAAAAAACAGGTTTCAAGTCCTGTCCATCCCCTGGATCTATGGCAAAATGGTGAAATATGCACAATCCATTTGAAATGTCGTTCAACTTTTCAAACTGTTTTCGATATTGAGTGAAAGATTTATTTGGATTGTAGAAAGAAGTAAGAATAAATTGAACATCGTAAGCAGCTAATGATACGTGTAAATTTGAATTAGATTGGTGAAGGAACCACAAGTGTTCCAAAATACAAGACAGCAAATGAATCAACAACAAACAGGGAACTAAAACACGCTTTAGAACCCCTACCCCTAGCTAGGAACATGACAAATTGACAATGGACCAAACTTAATGCTTGTTCTGTCTCTTCCTACAATCTGAGAACAGAAACCGTCCCAAAATCCAAACCAACACACCACACAAGTCCATTTTTAATAACCTTAACGACAAACGGGGCACTGAATTAACCCATTCTCATTACACTGACCACACCTCACAGTGTTCTTGTGGTCCTCATCCAAAACCTTACAACTTCCATTACATTCCATGCACATCACAAACCTCACACCACCACACCCTTCACACTCACCTAATGCCTTAGGGATCCCCTCAAAGAGCACACCCAATTTCCCCTCTTCTTCCAACTTCACAACTTCATCAACACCTCCGACCAACCTTCCCTTCACAAACAACACCGGAACTTTAACTTGCTTTGTTCCCATTAGCTTCCTCAACTCCTCCTTAAACCCCGAATCCATAGATACGTCACGCTCGAGCACGTGCACGCAATAGGATTCAACAATGGATCGAACTTTATTGCAATCCTCGAAAGTCTTTCTGATTCCTCGTAGCGTGGTGGTGTAAATAACAACAGAATTTTCCCCTCCAGGGGGGCACTTATTCTCAAACATGTTAATAAGGGATTGTGAATCCAGAGATTTTCTAACTCTTCGGGTTTTTGGGGTAGCCCAAACCATTCTCTTGATCTGTTCTTCTTCCGCAGAGAGTTCCTTTTCATAGGATGCAAGAAGCTCTGGATCAAACAAGGGACTAGAACTCTTCCTCTGCGAGGAATATCCAATATCACTCCCAAAACTGTTCCTTCTGGCACTAATCGGAGACCCTTTTATGGGAAAACCCGAATTCTTACATGAATTGGGAGAAAAATTGGTGGGTTTGAGAATTCCCTTGGGACTATGATTATAATCCAAGCGTCTGACACCATTGACTTGAACTCTGTTTTCCTTGCCGGTGAGCTTCTTAAGGGTCTTGGGTGACCCGAATTGGTTGAGGAACTTCAAGGGGCTCTTGGTGTCAGAAGCAATGAACCCACGAAGGAAAGGAGTGGACTTGGGGCTTTTCTTGTGGTGATTTGAAATGGGTACTCCCTCTTCAAGACCCTCCATGAGTTCCCAAGCATTGATGACTTCAGGCTCTTCGCGAAGCCGAGGAGGAGATGTTTTTGATTCATCAACGTTGTCGTTGTCCAACCTGAGTGCCCCGTAGGTGCTGGAAGTGAGAGAAACCACGTGGTCTTTGTAACCGCCGCCATTGTTGACAGTGACTTCTTGCTTGAGGTCTTTCTTGATATGTTTTGAGGAGACGCAGCCCATAGGTGATGGTGGGCGAGTGAGGTTCTCTCTCTCTCTCTGTGTGTCTCAAACTACGTTTGTTGGTTTTAAGGTTTTGGAGAAAACGAAAAGGTGAAGGCAACGGCTCTGGAAGTTTTTCCCTTGTCCTAACCGTTACTCTGTCTGGAACGGGCCCCAACGGTCGGAAAATTCGAATCTTCTTGCATCGAGGAGGGGGTTTTGGTAAAAGCCCATGTACGCTTACCACTCGCTGGAACAAAATATTTGGGCCTTTTCTTGGGTAAATATCGTTCAGGCCCAAAATTCATCAATATTACAAGTGTTTTTCAAAATTTAGACGCGCTCCGTAACCCAAATTGACCCAACAGCGTTAAGAGGATACATTTCTATTAAGGTTAAGTTCAACCCAAAACCTGATTAGAAATTCAAATTACAACAATCAAATCAACTTCGCAAAAATTTAACACAGCAGCAACACATTTCTAGTATGCTGCCAATCTCATATTCACATGTATCTTAACCCAATTATTTACTGGATTATGCTCTTACTTTCAAATTGATACATGAATTTTACTTTATAACCAGCACGGATTTGTTTATATTTTTCATTCAATTACTTTGTTAAAAATTAAATTTAAAAATTTATATTTTAAATATTAAACAAATTAAAATATAAATTATAACATACTTTTTTATTTCTTTAGAAATAAATAAATTTAAATTTAACAATATATAATATATTAATTTAAAAAAATTATATTTTATATTATTTTTTGGTTTCATAAATTTATTTTTCATGATAAATTTTTAAAATAAATTAAATATATTAAGTAATTTATAAATATGTCCATACATTACACAAGTTTACTTATATTTTTTAATTGAATTATTTTGTATAAAAACTTAAAATAATTATATTTTATTCACATATATCCTCTAGCAGAACATCTTTGTTTGAGTTAGGTATAACAATATAGTTTTTTTCTAAATATTTAACACAACTACATTAATTAAAATTTAAACTTAATTGTTATATTTATTTTATATTTTATAATTGAAGTATCATTATCTTAGCCTTACCTTTAACATATTTTTAATTAAACTCATATGAATAACAACACCAATCATGTCTATTTATAAAATAAATAAATAAAATAAAAAATTATATAAATTTATTAAAAGATTTAAAATTAAAAATAAAATGAATAATATATAAAATTTAATTTATCTTGAAATTTTAAAAAAGTTAAGTCTTGTGTCTAAATACAATTTTTTAAAATTATAAAAAATAAAAAAGTAATAACAAGAAATGCTTAAAAATATAATAGAAAAATACTTATAGTGAAAGTTAAATTCTTTTTATTTAACATGGAAATTAATTGGTTAAAATTTTATAATATTTTAAAACTTCCTCTTTTTTTTTATTATCCTAATATATAAATATTAATAACTTTAAAATATCTTTTACAAACACGTGTTCTCCCTCACCATGTGTAAATTTTAAAAGATTATTTATTCATCACGAGTTTCTCAAACGTTTTTATATGTTCAAATAAATTTTAAATAAAATTTTACCATGATTATATACTTAAAGCCTAATTAAAAAAATATGAAGTTAACAAAATGGATGAATTATAAATTGTACAAATGAGAGAAAAATTAGACGATGGAAGAAAGAGTGCAATTGAGCGGTGCCGTCAAACCATTGGGATGCAAGTGTCACCATCTTGTGTGTCACATCAGCAGAAGATGGTGTCCCTCTTTCATCTTCAAACAATGGAGTTATAGACCAAAATAAAGAGGGAATGTTTGGTCTTCTACATGTAGCAAAATGGTGAAGCTTTTATGACTTTGAGGGTGAGAAAGGAATAGGATTGAAAGACAAGCATTTCCTTTTGAGTCCTTCAAGTCCAACGTGAACAACAACATCATTTTATTTTATTTTCCTTCATGGTGATTGTTACTACACAACAAAAGCAATGAGCCACACAATGGAGAAATTGGTCATGCATTGCAGCTCTGCCCAAGCGCAAAAACCCAACTTTGCATTCCCCTACACAAAAAGCCTCCTTGAATTATGATTCAAAACAAACATCCTTGTTGAATTGTTCATTCACATTATTTTATTATATTTTGACTTGGTTATTCTTTTTCAAGTCCCAGACTTAATTAGAGCAATTTTATCAGTAAATAACATGTTGCTTTTCTTGTTAATAAAATATGAAATTGTGTACTAATAATGGTTAAAAAAGGTAAAAAGTTTGTCACACAGACAAGAAACTATTTCTCACGAAGACAAACTTTGCTTAGATTAAAATTGAACCACAAACAATTATACTGACAAAGCAGCTCGTAGATTGCATAACAAACTAACAATGAACTTGGACTTGTGTTTAATTGTTTTATCTGTTATTTTAAAAGAAAGTTTCTATTTGTTTGACATTTGAATGTTGTTAATAGATTTAATATCATAGTTGTTAATAAAGGAATTTTTATTTTAACTTCTTAGGCTATTGCCTTTCGGCTATAGTTAACAAAACTGTTTTTTTTTTTATTTATTATTATTATTATTATTTCATTAATTCAAGCAACATGTTGAGTTGAAGTTTTTTGGGGAGAATGGACTCCCAGTAAATCTGCAGGAGAATTAGCCTTCCTTAGAGTATGCTTCAAAAATCAAAATAATAAATCAATCTCTAGCAAGGGAAAATTTATTAAATGAATTTAATTATGTGTACTATTTCTGTAGATCAAAGATACTTATTTAAAACAATTTTTAATATTTAGTGTTGCAAGCACTAAAAAAATTTTAATTTACAAGTTTAAGAAAAACTTGTCCAAAGTTGACAAAAAAGTAATTTTTAAAGTTCATTATTTGTTTACTATTTAAAATACTTTTACCATATTTTTTATTTATGAATGCTTATTTTTAATACGGAATCATATTTATTTACATTTTTCTCTTTCCACGGATCACATTTATCCTAACAAAAATCGAAACACCATACAGTGTCCTTCTTGAGTGTTCAGCAAATATGTTTAAAAAACATAAAAATATTGAATATTTAATAAGGAAAATATTAATAAGAAAAAGTTGTTAAAAAAATAAAATTATTGGGTATATAAGCATGCACCAAATAATCCTCACAAGTTGCATAATTTATTTTTCATTAAAAATTAATATTTTGCTTGCTAAATGCTCACTTTCTTACTGCTTGCTACCATCAAGGCGCACAAATGTACCATAATCAGATTTATCATTTTTTTAAGAAAAATTTCGTTACCATTATTTTAATGATCGTTTTCTAGCAGCTACTGCAATAAATCAACAATCATTCTAAATAGAGTTAAAGTGGGGCACTAAAAAGATTAAAAAGATAAAGAATAAAAAAGGTTCATACATCAGCTCGACGTAACTAATTACACCATCTTTTATCCTAATCTTAATCAAAATTAAAACCAAAATGTTTCTTTAAATAATTTTTAAGGAGATCTTTCAATTGGCTTTTTCAAAATATTTCTAGAAAATAATGTAATAAAATAAGTAATATATAATATTATTATATATGAAGCTATTTTTTTAAATAACCAAAGTATATCGTAAAAGACAATTTAAGTTTGAGCAAGTTACAAAATATCTACCAGATATTATTTTGTGTGCCACCTGAAACATCTTTTCTTAAAAAAGATAGATTCATCATTCATATTATCCTAAGCAACATTGATCTCAATGCTTGAAGTGGTGCAGCATATGCTAGCATTTAAAATCAACAGGGGTGAGTGGGTTTATCTAGCTAGGACCAGTGGCAGTTTGCCAAGTAAAACCATTCCCAGAATTGATTTTGATGATATTTCCATCAAGAACATAAATATCTCAGTTTGCTTTCAATCAAAGCATCTTTCACTTTACACTGCATTTGCAAAGCGTTCAAGATTTTTGTGAATTTCAATGGTCTAATAATGAATGTTCAACACTTTAAAGTACAATGCAGCAGATTTTTGTTAGTTAAAACGTCAATTGGACGAAGCAGCTTCCTCAAATTGCAGATAATTATCATCGTCCAGTTGGGAAGAGCACCCTGTTCAAGAGGAATCTCATTTTGTTAAACTTTTTCACATTTATAAGTGTAGAGTCTGTTTTATAATTAATTAAAAGTATTTAATAGACAATATTTTAAATTAATAATGTTAGAGTACTTGTTAACGATTTTTTTAACACGTTTATTATATTCTTAAACAAATTTAAAATGTATAACAAACTATAAATTATTAACAATTATAAGAAGGTTTTTCTTTTAATATTTTAATAAAAGTTACAAGCCAATCGTCTTATACAATAAGATTTTACATGGGAAAGTTTCTAACTCATGCTACATCCTTAATTAATCAATCTCTACTCCAACTAGGGAGGGTTATTATCTGTGATCATGAGCAAAAGATGAATTAATGGAGGATAAATGGCTACTAATGATGTTATAGTAACTTGCAAGAAAGCCATTGCCTTTTCTCTGTATGTAATGTTCATTCCATAGAAATTTCAACTTATAAATAATATTTCCTACCTCCACTAACACACAATAGCCTACGAGAAGTTTCATCATTCCAAAGCACGCGTGTTGACAGCATCACCCTGCACTAAGCCCTTTTGTGCAACTACTTGCCCTATCTCCACTAATTTATCATATAATTGTGCTTTCAATTTCAATTTAAGAAAATGTTACTAAGATTTAAGAGCTGATTTTAAATAATTACAAATAATTTTTTATTGAGAAAAATATTTATTGATTTTAAAATATAATAAATGTCTTCGAAATTTACTTATAAACTTTTAAAATCAGTCTTAAGAATTAATGTTAAAAATTTGTTTAAAAAATCTATAATAAGCATGTAAATGTTTTAAAAAGTAAAACTATATATTTGTTAAAACACTGAACCAAGCTCTTTGATCTTTTTATTACAAGTTGATAGAGACCTATACAAACCCAGTTTGAATAAACTTATAATTTTTTTTATAAAAAAAT